TTTCAAGTTTCACACACCTTTTCTGGGTCATTGTATGACGGTACTTCAAAAAGTTATTGGAAGATGGAATTAAAAGGAAAGTTCAGTGGAGAGGCGAGCATTTGACATACACCTCATCTTCAAATCTCAGGACTGCTTCAGAGTCCAGATTCCTGCTAATGCTCACCTTGAGAGGCAGCGGGGGATGGACGCCACAAGTAATTAGGTCCCTGCCACCCAAGGGAGACGCGGGGACTGAGTTCCAGCCCCTGGCTTGGGCCAAGTCCTTTTCTGGCTGTTACAGGTATTTGTGGATTGAAACAGTCTTGGAAGATCTCAATCTTCCTGTCTCTCAAATAAACAGATATGCAAGTGCTTAAGAGATATTTGTTTTGCTGCAATTTTTAATTCATGCATAATTTTTTCAGAATAAGCATTTTCATTATCTTCTTGCTTATTTGTCATAGGCAAAACTTTTTATATCAAAAATAATAATTCTTTAGTTTCAAATATGCAGAAGATACTGTAACTTGCATATTACTTTTAAGTAATTTGTTTCAAATATACAGAAAATACCGTAACTTGCGTATTTCTTTTAAAAGATTTATTGATTTGAAAGAGTTACAAAGTGAGAAGAGAGACTGAGACAGACAGAAGTCTTTCATCTTCAGCTCACTCCTCAAATAGTCGCAGTGGCTAAGCCTGGGCCAGACAGAAGTCAGGAACTTCTTCCATGTCTTCCCCAGTATAGCGGCCCAAGCGCTTGGACCATACGCTGCTGCTGCTGCTTAGCAGGGGTTTGGACTGGAGGACCTTTGGTTGAAAGCGAAGCAGTCAGTTATGGGATGCCCACCTCACATCTTCTCCTGTTATACCATAACACAAGCCACACAGATTCTGCCTTTTAGTCTCAGATTACCAGATTCATCTGAACTCTTAGGAGTAATGCCTTTCGACCCTTCATCTAGCTGCTTTAGTTCCTTCTTCTCTGCCCTGAGCACATTCTCTCTTCCTCACCCTTTGTGTGATGGTGTCTTTCTGCTGGCCAGTGCTCTCCTCTGCCTGTGCTCATTACAGCCTGCAACCTATAATTCACACTGGCTTTATGAATCGCTATACACGACAGATCTCTGATGGTCTGAGTTGGAACTCTGGAATATGCAAGGAATATCTGTATTCTTTTGCACGTGTTTGTATTTTGGGGATTGTTATATGGAAACAGAGATTATAGTATATAAATGTAATTTAGGATTATGAAATTTTCCAATCTTTCAAATCCTTTGCTAATTGTTGCATGCATTATCTCATTAATTGCTACTCTATTAATCCATTTTCTACAACTTTTGGATTCTTTCACCTTTTGGAACCCTTTTTAATCATGGACTTCCCCAGACTGGCTAATTTCAGAGATATGATAGTAAACCACTTGTTTATGAACAGGCTTTTCATATGCAAACCAATCTAAAGTTCACATCCCCAAATAATTCCTTTATCAAATCCTCACACGTTGAGCCCGTATTCCTTTCCCCATTAATCACTCCATGGCCAGGTATTGAACCACCCAGAGAGACCCCCCCACCCCTTACAAAAAAGAACCAGCCAGAAATCAACAACTCTTCCATTTCTGGCTTTCTCGAGGTTGACCATTTGCCTTGCCCATTCTTCCCATGGAAATGTTAACAGTTGGAAGTTACAGATGGTGTAACTTCTCTCTCCTCATCAATCATGGTGATTCCCCATGTTGGCCCACCATGACCTGGGATGGTTATCTCCTTTCTGTTTTTAAACTATAAGCTGAAATTCTTCTTTCAAGGAAGGTGTCTGTCATCTGACCAGCCCTGATTTAAGCAAAGTCCTGCTTGCATCCCATGATACCTCCGGTCTATGAGACAGGAGAGTGCCAGTTACAGAGCTGGGGAGATGAGCAGTCAGATCGGAGACTGAAAGTCAGTGCACTGATTTGTCTTTAAAAAGGTCTTCATATATCCAAGTAGGCCTAACTAGGGTCATCCCATTGGTGTACACAGCCAAGCACTGCAGTGAAAGTCCCTACATAAAACAGCAAGTCCTTGTGCCTTGTAAACCCCAAACTTGTTCTTTTCTGAATTCATTTGGTTTTAGTCTTACATTGCATGAAGCGATGTCTGACACATGAATGAAACTTTCTGCAGAAGATGGCAGACTGACACAGAAGAACATAAACACGAGACCTTTGCAGTTACATCTTTGATTCTCCAGCCTTAGCAATCAGTCTCCCTAATCACTCACAAATGCTGAATTGGGAACCAGACTTACAGAAGAGAATATGAGGACATTGCAAAAAGAATTTTTTTTCCATGGAAAATGGAATTGATAGATTTTAATTTTGTGCAAAAATTGAGAACCATGCAATTTTTTAGCAATATACATTTTTCATGATTTTTTTTGATGATCTCTCATACGCAGGGATTCCAAAATATCTGCCACAAAAATAAACTCATCCTTTAATTCAATTTTTACATGATTTTTGCAAGAATCCTTATAGACACAGGCCCTGTTCTTCAGGACTCTACATAGCTTTAGTCAGAAAAAGCTAGAGATTGTGTATTTTTTACAGATTTTTTGTTTATTTATTTGAAAAGCAGTTACACAGAGAGGGGGAGACACAGAGAACTTCCACCTGCTGACTTACTCCCCAGATACTGCACTGTCTAGGAGCCAGAGCCCTGACTCCATTGGGGCTCCCCTCCTGGGCACAGGGAACTAAGCACCTGGCCCACCTTTCACACTTTCCCAGGAACTTCAACAGGAAGTGAAACAACTAGGACTTGAACCATCACCCACAGGAGAGGATGCCGTTGCACTTGGCGGCTTAACCTACTGTGCCACTGGGCTGGCCCACAGATCATGTACCTTAAGAAAGTTTCTTGTGTGAGCCCATCTCTGCCTTTCTCCTTTACTTGCCACTGCCATCCCTTTCTCTGGGACCTCATTCTCTTTTCTCCTTTCTTTCAAAACAATGTCTTTTATTTCAAGCAGCAGTTCAGAGATCCACTCAGCAGTCACCTCATTTTCAAGCCCTGATAAGCTATAGGATCAACAAGTGCAAGAGTAAGGAAGGAGGAGAGGGAGAGTTAAGGAAGGGGGGTGGAATGTCCTACAATCCAGGCAGGAGCTGTATGGCTTCTGTGACAGCCTGACCCATCTCTATGCCGTGTTCAAGATCCAAACCCTGTAACTAAGGCAACCCAGCATCACCACCTCCTGTTCTCAGCCTGACCTGGTTTAAAACAAGAGAACTGCCTCTCCAATCTGGAAATACTGGCCAGGGGCTTCCCTGGCTTGAGCGGATTATACACCATGTGTCAAGCCTGGTGTGTTCAAGTCTTGACAAATGACAAATGCCTTTAACACTGGGGGTGATCCCAAAGTAAGTGGTGGGCTCTCCTGGGGTCCTTCGCAGCTTCTCTGCGTCATCACTCTCCCTCTGCCTTGCAGCTGCACTGCAGTCTTGGTTACATCTGCTTTCAGAAAAGGGCCCGCTGGATGCCGCCCCTTTCCAAGATGACTCCTACTAGGTCAGTATCCTTCTCCCGAGGTCAGCGGCGCTAAGGGGGAGTGGGAGAAGGGAGACGGGGTTTATTTGTGTATTGTTCCTGAGAGCTGGGAGCAGGAGCTTTTGATTTCTTCGCAACCAAAGAATAAATGATAAGAGCTTAATGCTTAGTTTTTAAATTAAATTTCATTTTGCCCATTGTGCAGCACCCAATCTCGTGTAACAAAAGGCTCTGAGAAAGAATACAGAACAGGTGCACACAGCAACCCTGAAATCAGGCTAAGGCACAAGAGCTGCAGTGAGACTAGACTTCTGCCAGGGGGAGCAGGGGGAAAAAGCATCAACTAGGCCCAAGAAATCTAGAGCTTTAGAACAGGGGGAATGAATAGCAGGGAACCTAAAGCTCCACCCACAAGCCAGTCCAGGCATTGCTCAAGTCCTGCTTCCAAGATCATAAAGTCATCTATGGATTTTTAGGAAGCTCAACCCTAATGCTTTTCAGGACTTCCTGTGTTTTCCGGTGCCCTTTCTTTGTAAGACCACAAGAGGTTCTGAAAACAGGGCCGGGAACAAGGCAGGGGGCTATTTTGTGCAGAAAAAGGAAACGCTGGTGTGCCTGCCCTGGGAACAGACACCCAGGGGTGGGGCGTCAGTGTTTCCAAGGTAAGCCACTTAATACACAGGCCAGAGAACTCTGCTTCAGGGTTGGCGTAGGGTCAGGCCGAGAGCCGCTACCAGCCAGCGGTCCAGTGCTGGCATGGAAGACTGGTTCAGCCACCTGGACTGGGAAATGCAGTTCTTTTCTCGGGGCGGGGTCTGGCAACTTCTGCATCAGCATCCGGGGAAGAAAGGTGCCAGCGTCACTTTTCCATTTGCTGCCTTCCCCAGACCTCCCTCCCTCACTCTGTGCCATACCCTTCAGTCTACGCGCCCCTCTCCTCCCTCCTCACTCCTATCCTGGAACCAGGGGAAGCCCCGGGGTGGGATGGGCAGTCTTCCTCGGCTAGCTCGCGAATAAGGGCAAGTTGCTGGGTGCATGTTCTCAGCGATCCCCGGCCTCAGTGGGTGAAGCAGGGCCTGCCTGGCGCGGCGGGGGTTAAGGTGGGCGCCCGCGCCCCGCGCCCCGCGTCGCCGCGGCCAGGATGAGCGCGCCGTTCGCGCCGCCCGCCGCCCGCGCGCTCCGAGTCGGCTCCGGGAGTAAGTGGCGGTCAGGGATGGAGCCGCTGCCATGACAACCCCAGCGACCGGGGCCCGCGCGCGTCCGGGCTGCTCCCGGGAGGCAGGCGGCGCGGGGGCCGGGGGCGGCCGCTGAGCGTGGCGTCCGCGCGTCCCCGCGTCCCCGGAGGAGGCGGGGGCCGCGTCCGCCCAGCTCCCCGCGCGCCCCGAGCCTGCGCTGGGCGGCGGGCGGCGGGCTGGCGCGAGTGGCCGGGCGGCTGCGGAGGACGGCTGCCGTGCTGAGGATCGCGGGCTGCGCTGGCTGCGCGTCCCCGCCTGCAACTTTTTCTCGCCTCCGGCTTCCAGATTCGAGACTTGGGGGCTGGTTTATAAATACTCCCGTACATATGTGTGAGCTAATAAAACAGTTCTCTCCTCGAAGCAGCCGCCGCTGGGGGCATCTCCTTCGTGCCAGAGCCACTTGCCTTCTTGTCTGGGTTATAAACTTTTGCTGCCAGACCTCTCTGCAGAACGCGCCCAGTCGAAACCTAAAGTAGCGTCCTGAAGAGCCAGGCAGAGCGCGCACCCCGTGACCTTCATCCCCGCACCGTGCCGCCTTCTCCGGCTTCCCAGCCACCTCTCTCCTCCCCAAGGGAGCGTTGAGGAAGCGCTTTTTGGATGCCAGAGGGGGCATCTGGTTCTGCCAGGCTGGAAAGCTGAGGCAGGCTTGGAAGAAGAATTACTAGACTCCGGAGAGCCCAGACTCTTCCTCTCTGCGTCTCCCTGCTCCGCTGTTGGTGGGCTCCAGTCCGCGCCTGCCTCCCGCAGCACTTCCCAGGCCCGCTGACGTGCGGGGCACTGGGCGCGGATCGCGGACCCTGCGGCTGCCCGAGTTCTGGGAAGTTGCGGCCCTCGAGGATGGGGGTGTGTGGGCACCTGTTCCTGTCCTGGAAGTGCCTCGTGGTCGTGTGTCTCAGGCTGCTGTTCCTTGTACCCACAGGAGTGCCCGTGCGCAGCGGAGATGCCACCTTCCCCAAAGCCATGGACAACGTGACGGTCCGGCAGGGGGAGAGCGCCACCCTCAGGTAGGGAACTGTCCTTCGGAGGGGGTCCCAGCCCTCAGGATGGGGTGTTCAGGGTAAAGGGCCAGGGTGAGGCTGCTGAAACCTTCGGTGGAGGGGGGCTTGGGGCAGGCGGAAGGGCTTTCCGCAGGCCCAGGAGGTGCCTTCTGTGTACAGTGGCTGCTGATGCCCGCTCTTTCCTGTCCCAGCTTTCTTGGCCCAAGATCTGGGTGAACACTGATGGCCGTACTGGGGCTGTGTGCATCTATGGGGCCAGAGCATGAAGTGATTCACTTGTGCGTGGGCACCAGAGTGAGGACAGATGAGGAGCCACCGGAATTGACATGCTGGGTGGTTAGTCCAGGATCCTTTGCGTGCCCTCTCGCAGGTCAGAAGATGTGTGACGAACCAGGACAGTTCTCAGAAAGTCCAGGCTAGACCCCCTTGGGGGGGGGGGCAGTCTTACATCTGTGCAATTTCCAGGGCCAGGCCTTGTCTACTTAGGAGTCAAGACACAGCCAACTCATGCCAAGCCTGGATGGGGTACCTGGGTTCCCACTTGAGATCATGAGGGCTGTTTGATTTCTGCCTGCTGGAGCCAAGGGGAGAAAACATATAGCTTTTTATGCAACGACATCACCCCTGTGTGCAAAGCACAATATGAAAGCTTTTTGTTTTACCTTAATGAGTTACCGAGAATCACTTACTTGCCCCAGGCGAAGGGGTGGAGAATCTTGGAATATGAACCTTTGGGGACTAGACCTGCTGCAGCAGAGACTTTAATAAAAATGCAGCCACCACTTTGCACCAGCTCAGCAGTTCTCATCTTTTATCCTTTTAATGAGGCACTTCTGGTCCTAGGAGACAGATTCAGGGACGTCCCAGCCTAACTATGTGTCGCGATGTACACAGGGTGAACGCGTTTGCCCTGCCTGTGACTTTGATGATTACGGTGAAAATGAAATACCCTGACCCAGATTCTGCAGTCCAAGTGTTGCCTGGCTAATGCCAGGATGGGAGGAAGGCAGGGTTTCCTTGAGCTCCACCGCTTGGCTTCCCGAAATTCTCCCTGCTTCTAGACACACCTGTCCCTGGGGAAGGAACTGAAGACCACGGGGTGCAAGTATTCTTTTCCAAAGCCCAAGCCTGTTGGGATGCTTGGCACTTGGAATGAATCTTCTCTGGGGGCCTGACAGTAGGTTCTGGAGCCCTGTGCAATGGTGCTCAGAGACCCAGCCAGGAGAAGAAAAAGGATTAACTCATCCCTCCTAGCGGCCTAAGGGATGAATACCACGCCCCTGCCCCCTGCCGGCCCCAGATAAGAGTTAGGGTCCTCCTCCATCCACTTTATTCCTCAAACTGGGCTCAGGAGGCCACATTTGAGGACTGACTGGTAGGGTGCCCACTTGAAGTAGGAGAAAGTTGGGAGAAACATGTAGGGCACGCTGTGTGTCAACCAAGAGCATGACGGTAAATGTTGGTAGTGTGGAGGACTGTGGGTGCAGCCGTGCTTCACCTCGTCTTCTGGTCTACCTCTGGGGCTGAGAGCTTTGAAATGAGTAACATCTCAAGGCAGAGTTCTCCAGATTGCCCTGTCCTCTTGTCCTTTTCCTGCCCCTTCGGCATTAAACCAGAAACGTGAACAAAACAAAACAACAACAACAACAACCAAAACTTAAACTTCTCTGTTTTCTGGGATGCGACGAGATGATTCTGCCAGCAGAGGGCCAGCTTCCATCTACCTCGTTTTATTTTATTTTATTTTTTATGAACTGCTGGCTTGTTTTCATGATCTTCAGTTCTAATGTTTAGCAGCTGGGCTTGCTAATGGGAATGGGGATGAAAGAGGAAAAGCTGGATGGATTTTTTTTTTATTGTGCTTTGTGGTGGAAAAATTAGCTTACACGTTCTGATATGGCTATTATTTGTTACCTGCTTGCAATGCTATAGTCTTGTGTGGATTTTGTCTCTCCTGCACACAGCCACTCTGTGAGTAGAGAAGTTTGGAGTGTAGTCTACATTGTAATCTCTTTCGTTCTATCTTTTACCTCGTGCAGTCTTATGATTTATTGGTCATTTCTATTTGATGTCCTGTTGGCTAAGCTTACTCATTTGCTTCTTCATCTCTCCCCTTCAACACTACATTTTTATTATTCCTTACTTTAGAAATAATTGATTTCACTACCATTATATTGTTTCTTAAAAGAAAGCATACACATCTCATGAATTTCTGTTGGTTCCGATCGCCCTCCGTTGTTATCCATGCTTGCTCGTTTTACTGGCTAACAGTTGAGTACCCATCTTCATGAAACACTTATCTGCCATCTCTCCAAGGGAGCTAGCACATTCCCAGTGTCTAAAAGTCCATGACACCAATCACCAACATATGCACCATATTGAATAGGGTGTCGTTCTTTCTTTTTACAAAATTCTAAGTCCTGAGTATTATTAGTTTTGGTCTCCTTAAAGATGTTCGTTAGAAATTTAGTATTCCAAATACGTCAAAAATCTGGAACACTCCAGTGGAACTGAATGATATACGCACCTGTCAGCCACAGGCCGACTTGCCGCTGTGACTCTCCTAGACCCGGCTATCTCAATTCTATGTAATCATGAATGAGTTCACACAAGCAGGCCAAGCGCCTCGTGGGAAGAGCAGAGGTATCAGGAGCTTGGTTCCACCTTCACGTTCTCTAGTGAGGTGTTGCCCAGCTTGGGAAAGAATGGTTTCTTCCCTCAGGCCATCAGTTTTGTTGTGATTGTTCTTTGATTGCACTGAGTGACATTAGCAAGGGATGTGCTCCAGCCGGCACTAAAGTTTTGAACGTGGATGAAACTCATTTTTATATAAGTGAGGCAATATTATCTCCCTTCTAACTACTTCACAGTGCTACTTGAGAAGTAAAAATAATTATTTGAATATTGAGTTATTTTGCCTTCTTGGAAGAGAGATGATATAGAAAATGAAGGTTCTATTCACTGTGGTTGAATTATAGCTTCTATGAATCTGATTTGAATTCATTATTACAAATGGGCCCTCTTGGCCAGAACCATTTCATTACAATTATCTGCTGTAGAGCTGAAAATGTTCTGTGTCTTTTTGTTAGATTAGATACGACAAGAATCCAGAAGCCCTCTGTCAGAGTGAAGGCCTGTGTCAGGAAGGGGATGGGGGACCCTCGATGTGGTCAGCTGTGCCTGCTAAGCCATGTCAGCCTTAGGGATGCATGGGTACCAGCTGTGTTTCTTCATGAGTCCCGAACACCTGCGAGGTTGCTCTGGCCCTTCTGTGGGTTCTTATATCCTGTGTAAATGCATGTTTGGAGGGCATGTTGTTGTAACTGTGCACTGCCTGGGGAAACCTCTTCCAACACAGTTACACGCTGCATAGCGATCTTGTCCTTGTGTGACCATCACAGAGGGTACTTGCGCAGACTCAGGCAACTTCGTGTCATTAGGCAATGAAACCTCATGGGACCATCCTAGCGCCACTGAAACATCGCTGTGCGGGGGGATGACTAGACTGTTTTCTGTTGATTGGTTGTTATTTTTCAGTAGCAGGATAACCAGTCATGCTGATCCCGCCTTGCTGATCCAGAATTATGCTGTTTCTTTTCTAAAATGCTCTTGCATTTTAATTCCGCATTCTGTGCTAACCCATTCGGAACCAAGTACCTTTGCTTTAACAAGTGCCCTGGCAAAAATCTCAACAGTGGATTTTTCTATAGTAACTAGGGCAGTGGATGTCTTGAGGACCGTGTCTTGTTGTTTGGGTCTCTGTGTGTTGCACCCACCATCAGCAGCTCTGCATGTCTTGGAAATTAGCAAATTTAGAGTAGCCCACAGGTTGTTCAAATATATGCGTCTTGGTGATGAAGTTGCCTACACTGAATACAGAATGTGGCACAGCAAAGGCTTTGCTCTTGGTCTGGGAAGATGAAGACATAAAAGGTTCTGTGGCAGGTTCAGATCCACAAGGGACCGCTGGAGGAAGTAAGCAATGGTGCTTGCCTCAACAGCAAGTGGAGTTCCCTGTGGCAAGCCTGGCTCCTGGGGGAGTAAACCAGGATCTCCCCAATTTAATATGGATGTGAACATTTGAAACATTCCTTGTTATGTTTCTAATGTGGAACCAGAGAAGCATTGCTCCGAAAGATGTGTCTGCCCTAGATTCTTGGGGTGAGGCTAGCGTCAGTGTGTCCCTCCCTGCCCCCTGAAGTGTCTCATGGCTGCATGAGAAAGCACTGGCTCCGACCGTGGGTAACTGGGTGCGGTCCTTATGCTACCTGTGTCACTAACTCTGAGATGTTGAGCACGACAGTATGATTATCCACCCAGTCTGTAGTATCAGGTAAGAAATACACAGTGCAGGTCTGTTAACTATAAACAACATATGTGTGTGAATCGTTGCTGGTACTGCATGGGACTCCTCATGGCAGCTGATGTTACTCTCAGCTTTCTCTGGTCTCATCTGTTCTGTTCTACCTTCCTTCCCATGCCACCCTTTGAGATGTTTAGTCTGGCCCCTTGACTTCCTGCTTTCTCTTAGTGATTAGGAATTGCTTTCATCTGGGGTTCTCACAGAGCTTATGGATGTGCTGTGCCTCCAAGTGTGGTTATGCATGCCCAGTGGGATCCTGGAACCCATGTACTGAGTGTAGAGACGGTGGGTACACTGAGGGTTTAACAGCAGGTGTTGTTCTGTGACCCTCGGTCTCAATGGGAACCGCTTGTTAGGTATCCTTTCAGCAAAGGGCTTATGTCTAAATGATTTCATACTCTTCTGGATCCCATTCACATCGTTTGCACCACAGGACCCTTGAAGTCACCAGTACTTGCAATCTGAAGTTTGGCAGAAGGCTTTGCTAATCCTGAAAGCACCTTCTAGGTGGCACAGTTAGGAGGAATCATTGCAGCAAGAGTGGAGTAATCCCTGAAACTGGCGGTTTGAAGTCTAGCTTTGTGATGGAGTTTGAGGCACACCGGATGAGGCCCAGGAAAAGAGCAGACAGCCCAGGGATTCT